TTTGTAATCAGTAAATGTTTTCACAGAATCAAGTTCATTTAACTTTTTAATAAAAATATCATAAAAAGATGGAATTTTTTCTAAACAATCATTTGATATATCTGATAAATGTTGTCTTGTGTTTGTAACAACCATTGTAGAATGATCATAGAACAGAACTGAAGAACATTGTTGAGTGTTTTCAATTAAATGTTGATTTGATTTAATTAAATCAACAAAATATTTTAAAAATAATTCAAAAAGTTTAATAAAAATAGAATTAATTAATTAGTACATGTTTGGATAATACATGATTAATCAAAGTTACATAAAAAAAAATCTACTCAGTCTTGGACTGAGTAGATGGTGATTGAGGAATATATATAGGAGATTCAGAAGTATACTTGGGAGATTAGAGTTTATCTTTATCAAATATTGTAATCGAGAATCAATTAAAGTTACAATCTCAGAAATGATTTCTTTCTCTGATATTTCATTTTTGAAATTATTTTTTCCTTGTTTATTTTTTCCAATATTTTTCTTCTTTGATTGTTTTTTGCTTTTGAAATTGTTTTTATTTTGTTTCTTTTTACCTTTCCTATTAACATATTTTTTGAAATCATCTAATAGTTTCACCTCATTTTTGTAAATTTGTGTACCTGTATGATCGAAACTTTTAATCCAAAACCAAATCTTATAATCTGGTTTATACCTTAATAATAACTTTTTCATTCGCATCAATGATTCTTTAGAATTAACATGAACCAACTTTTCTGAATAATCTAATTTTTTATCAACACTCTGAAGAAGCTTAAAATAATTACTTCACATTCTAAAAGAACAATAATTATTTTTATGATTACGAGGATCATATTGCCAAAGATGTTCATAAAATTCATGATTCTTTTTACATTTGCAAATAAAATAATCTTTTAATTTTACTTCTATCACATGTTCAAGAAGATCGAATTTTTCTTTTGGTTTACATTGTTTGTAGATACGAACATAAGATCGATCAAAATCAATGTTGCGCCAAGATACACTATTTTGAATCACGAATGATTCGCTCATAATCTTGTATTTAATTGAAAAGAAACGTTCAAAATGTGTGATTATGTCTCTATTTATTTTAAAGTAATTATTTTTTAATTACTTTTGAATATCTGAAGCTGAACTTAGTGATATTCGGGCGAATCGTTATAATTCTGAAGTCTAAGTTGAGTGAATTTTTCAGTCTTTTATAGATATTTAGGAGAGAAAAAAAAAAAAATAAGTTTTTAATTTTATCTCGTAGACATTAATTGATTATATGAATGCTAAATTCATATATTTCTAATTTAGAACCTAGTTCATTCATAAGTAATTTGTACTAAACAGAAATCCGAATCTGTAATTTTATAGATTTAGATAGGTCATCTATCAATAATTAATTTCCTTTTAAGTACAAAAAATGATCATGAGTATTCGAACATCAAACCTTAAATTGTTATCTATAATTTCAATTGGTTCCTTATGTTTTCTTTTTAGATAATTATTAATTAGAAATTTCTTTATATCGAAATTCGAACATTGTGCCCAAATCAGTAAATCTGATTTGAAAATTTGATTATATCAAATAATATAACCAAATCCGTAATTTCTGATATAAAAATTATTAAATTATTTAATTCTAATCAGTAAATATACTGATTAGTAAAAATAAATCAGTATTTTATAACAATTAAGAAATAAAAATCAATTACATATTCCAAATTCGATATTATAAATTAATTATAAAAAAGGATCATTAAA